GGTTGTCCAGCATTTATTTGTAGTATATCAGCATGAGTAGCATTTTCTTCATCGATTAGTTTTTGCAAAAATACCCATAATGTTGGATGACTACATTGGAACACTGATCCAATTCGACGATGATAAGCTTCAGCCGTATTATTTGTTCTCATGGATGATTGAGTGGTCCTGTTGTACATATTCCAAAAGTCAATACAAAACATTGGTCTTCTTCTCGTATGATTTGGTCGCAGTCTCCCTAAACCAATGAAATATTAGGGCTCTACCTTTAGGGCAATCAAAAACCACTTACCAATATATGTTTCTTCAAAATAATCCAGTATTTCTTGATAATCGTCACCAAGGTCCATTGATAAATCATCAAATCCATTAATCACACGACTCGGCTCCAGAAACGCCAATGCCGCTATTTTATGAATATTGTGCGCGAATACTGGATCCGTTTGGTATTGATTTTGATACCCTAGTGCCTGGTAAAAACACATGCTATTAACGTTGACATTTAGTTCAGTACTTATGAGTTTCACATTACCTGCAGTTTACGATGAATACTCTGTCTCAAATGAAAATAGCAACCGGATAATGAGACAGTCGGAAAACTTGCATCAAAAACGTTAATACATGCTTGCTCAAAATCGAGCATAATTGAACGAGGAAACCAATGTGGCGCGAACTCAATTATTTGATTAATTAAACGTTGGTACGTTTCTGCATTTTTTCGACGTAATAATGCATAAATCAGGGGTACCACATGATCCGGATACACTCCATGAATAATATATAATTGGTAGAATATTTCAGGGACTACTTTGAATGTGCCATCGACAAGAAATTCGTCTGTGGATTGTAGAATATCTAGTTGTTCAGTGCTTGCAAATATTAATATTCTATCATCACCTGCAACAGTAGAAAACAAGAAAGTAGTATAACATTTATTACCAGATATATTCACCGACGTACCTGGACCAGTATCACAGCGCAAAAACTGATCTTGATGCACAGTTTTACTTAATGGTATCGGAACAGACGCAAAATTTGAATCGTTTGCTGCTGTTATAGGATTATTATTTTGACGCAACATTCTTATTCGTCGTTTTATATGATCACGCAATGGTAAACGAGCGATTGCTGGATCAGACATGCCTAGGAGTAACGATTATTTATTAGTAACAGTTATTGCTAAAAATTGAGCATCTCTACCTTTGTAACAATTTGTAATGATCATATCTGGTGTTTCTTGAGTATGAAGAGCACGATAAGCAATTTGTTCGTCGAATTTTCGAAGTTCAACTGTTGTACCATCAATTGTGCATATATGTTCCGTTGGTGGTTTTATAATATTATTTGTAATAA